GTCCTCGTGTAGCTGATCAGTGCGAAGATATATTCACCGGCGACGAATCTCGTCAGTTTGAACCACGTTCAAATGACGAGGACGACACCGATCACACACCGCATTCTTCAAACCTCCGCTTCACGTCAACTAAGACTTCGAAGTATGCATTGTGTCAGCCATTCTACACAGTGGATTTTCTGGGATACCAGGACTTGAACTTCCTACTTGACAAAGCCTGCCAGGAATTCGCGACCATGACCAGTCGGCTACCGTAGCCACATAAAGAACTGCAGTTTGAAGAAATTTTTCCCTTATACATCGTCTATGTAAAATAAAAATTAACAAGTAATATAAATTTTTTTTAAAGTCAATTTCTATACTTAGGTCAACAAAGAAAATTTTCATTTTAGGTACTTTTATTAAGTAATTACAATTAGTATAAATATGTATATACATAGGACAGATTTAGAATATTAAGTGACAAGATAGAAAGTGAATTCCCATGCAATTTACCTTTTCCTTTTCTATGTAGGGTGTTGGACTATTATTTTGTTTGTTAACAATTATTCCTTCATTAAATTTAATTATTTCAATAAAATAGTGTGGTAAATAGAAATCACATTCTCAGAAATTAGGCCATCCCAGATGGGATTCGAACCCACGAACTTTGGATTAGAAATCCAACGACCGACCCATTGCGCTACTGGGATCGCTTGCAAGCGATTTTTCCTTTTTATATGTGGTGTAGAACTATTATTTTTGTTTGTTACTTCTTATTAATCAATTTAAAAAGTTAATGAATTAATATTTGAAAAAAATTAAAGCATCAAGTGTCATCCACTACAAGTTTAGAAAAAATGTATTTGCACTTGAGTGGATGAATAAAAAGTATTTTATTAACGATTGAAAATTTGAACATGATATATATATATTTCTAATAGCAGATTATATGCACAGTTATTAACAGAGTTCATCAATCTACCTAGTACATTCACCGAAAGCTGGTATCTCCCTTTAGTGCTGTGCCATATTGGCTTATACCATCACCGAAGGTAATTTTGTCGCCCAATTTCCTCCCTAAAGGGAGGCACCTGAGATCTGGTGATGCGAACCTATACTAGGATTTAATTATGCCTAGAGCACCCCCCAAGGATCTTTTACATGCCGTATAATCATACGACTGCTGTCGATTTTCTGCATCATTAAATTCGATCGACTTGGGCGAGGGGCGAACCCATAATCTTGGACACACACACACACACACACACACACACACACAAA